CCACAAAAGTTTGACTTGTTTTTTATTGATATTATAGTTGCGATTGCAGGGGTTTTTCTTTTTCTTGTTTTAATAAAGCTGTCTTCTACAATGTTTATTTCTTTTGTTTTCAAATTGAGTTGTGTTGACTTGTTGACATTCTTTTGATTTTGACTTCTTTGATTGAATAGTTTAAATAATTGTTTGATTCTGAGCTGGAATTCTGATAATGCATGTTTTAAATTGCTTTTGTATATTAGATTATTCTTGATTTGAAAAATTCTAAAGCATTTCAGATAGATGTCATAGTCACTAACTGCATACATCTATAATTGAATAATAATAATAATAATAATAATAATAATATCTTGTTTCATTCCATCAAGAAGCAGTTGAATAGTTTTTTTTAATATGAAATAAATAACTCATTTTATAAACTTGGCATTCTCAACTCTATTAAAGTTTCTATCATCTGAGAAAGTGAAACACAATCAAATATATCTTTTATATCAATGAATATTGCAATTGAAACTATTTTTTCGATCTTTATAAATTAAATATTATGAATTATAAAGAGAACTGCATCAATAACTGAGTTTTACTTTTTACTTTTTATTTGATCATTATATAACAAATCAGTAGTAGTAGATAAAAAGGACAATTTAGTTGTAATTATCTTTTTCAATATTTTTCTCGGACAATTCAACAATGATATCACTTTATAAGATTTGAAAATAGTTGACTTTCTATTAAGTTTTGAAAGAACCATCTCAACAGCATGCTTTCAACACTGAAAATGATAATCATATTTTAAAAGATTTAAAAACAATTCAAAAAAAACTCATTCTTAAATACTAAATAAAGTTTTTAAATTACTAAATGATTTATAATATCAACTTCTGCAGCAGTGACTTTTGATGAAGAAAATATAATTATTTTTTGTGGCGTTCCGCCCCTGGTCTCCCTTCCGCCCTGCTCCTTCCGCCCCTGCATTATTATTCCTCCTATTCTTCCCGTATGCTGCGATCGCTCCTTCCTCTGGATTGGTTCGCTGACGGGATGACTACGTATATATATAGGGGCGTTCGCCCACCCTTCTAGATTAGAGAAACTCAGACATGAATTATCCTACCAATTGAACGGCGTACGCCATATTTTTAATTCATTTTCAATTAAATCAGATCACTTTCATTTTTCATTATATTTATATTTATTGTTTTTTTATAAAGAAATATTCTCAATTGAGTTGTTTGATGAATGAAATAATATTTTTATAAAAACTTGACATTTCTGTTCAAATGAGCTAACTTAACGTTAATTATAACTATATTATGTAACATGATGTTCTGGGAAGTGGTGTATTTTTATTATTACAACGAGAGCTAGCTATCTATAGACTATATATGACTAGTCATATGCAGTGAGGCAAATGCCCCGGCAACCCATTTTCAACACATTTTTGCAACAAGAAAAGGAAGAAAAATGAGAGCATTATATTGACTGCTCATTATATATATGAAACAGTCATCTGTAACATTCACTCTTCAGATCTGAATGGTTAAACAGACTGATATACATATAAATGAAAATATAACAAATGAGCAGCAGAGAGTTAAGGAAATATCACGGAAATATATAATCAAACTCACATATGTAACATGCAAACCAAAGGTCAACAATGTTTAATGGGATAGAGCGTAAGAAAACTGATTTAGAAATTACAGCACATTCGCAGTATGTACGCGAAAGGTATATCATGAGGACGAAGCAAAATGAAGGAAAAATTAAATAGTGGAAATCGGAAATATAAACAGAAAGACATGATGAAAAGAGGAAGCGGTCTCTATCGTTACGGCAAAAGGTGCACCCGAGAATTCCACGAATGGACAAGTTTGTTAAAAAGCCAAAGATCTAGAAAGTATAAGAAGAAAAATCTCAAAAGTAACCGATGCGGGGTAGTTTCAAAAAGTGAAATAACAAATTAATAAGTGGATTGAAGCAAACCCTGTAACGCCGCTGGGATGAGGAGAAGATGGCCTGGGGCGTGTGAGCAAGGGTGCTGAAGGATTTACGCTCATCCTCCTTAAGTCGCCACCCTTCAGTGTGCAGATATGGCATTTCGTTGTCTTTAATATCCGGCCACTTTTCGTAAGGATGTTCGATCTAACCTTCGTCGTCCTGCCCAAGCCGACTATATCGTCCTTGGTCGCTTTTTTTACTAGAATTTCTCCCCCGTCCAATCACGCTGGCTAACCATGCACCAATTCCTTCGCGAGGGTTAGATCGCTCTACCTTGCCAGTGTCGGGTTGATCGAACTTATTATTATTATTACTTGATTCGGGAGGGCTAATGTCTAGTCCAGGGATCGAATGTTCGGCGCTAGGATAACTATCAGGAGACCTCCGAATATCAAGAGAGGGGACGGGCGATCCTATGCCCATGAGAGCGTCGCGTTCTGCGGGAGTAGCTGGAGTAACAGCCGTGGCTCCATCGCCAAAGATCGCATCCATGTCCTCTAGTCGGATTCCGCTAGTTTCGGGATAGACAAAATATACTGTGAGATGGTGAGTAAATACAGAATAATATGAGGCGGTAAAAAGTAATGTTAGCTTTACCTAGAACAAAACTGCACGCGCAAAAGAAAGCATGCATCAAATAAAGACGCCACTTGATACTTTCTTGCAGAACCGGAGTTATTTCTCCGACCAGCCAATTGAAAGCCCAGTTGGAAGCAGTACTCAAGCTTGCACCTTTCGCTCGAATACTGAGAGGTAAGATTTCTGGGGGGTAAAGCCATGGGATCGGGCCCCACGAAGCACCAAACGCAGCGTTGTATATCATGACAAAAACAACGGTGAGGATCGGGGTCAATTTTATATCAAGATAAAGCCAGTAGGAGATAAAGGATAGGGAACTAATCATCGCCACGGCGCCGGAGAGCAGAATTGGTCGTCGGCCCCAGCGGTCTACAAGGTACCAGGGTGGGATAGTCGAAGCCAGATAGGAGAGCGAGTTGATACCAGTCATAAGCAGTGCCTTGCGTCCCATCATGCCGGCGGATTCAAAGACCAACGGGGCATAGTAGGAAATAACGTTAATGCCGTTGAGCTGAGCAAATGCTTGGGCAGACATGGCAATAAAAACTCGTTTAGAATAGCGGCGGAACATGTCCCTATATGTCCGCTCGCCCTCCTGTCTCTGAATCAAGACTCCCATCTTGATATCACGGTATTCTTGGCGTGCTTTGTCATTGTGAAGGTCACCTCCACCGTACAGATTGGCTATCACAACCATTCCTTCTTCATCGCGATCGGTATCGAGCAGCCATCTGTTTCCCCCCACAATGTCAGTAAACTGATATTGTTATGAACGCACAGCAAATCTGGGATCTTACCGAGGAGACTCGCAGATAATAAGGCTACCAAGACCCAGAAGAGCACCCATAAAGCATTGGCACATGAGAGGCAGCCGCCAAGCCCAGTTGTTTGGGATATAACTGCAAAAGTAATCTACCCAAACGCTAGCCGCATAACCACAAATGTTTCCAGTAAACTCTATACAGGCCAATTTGCCTCGATTATGGGGAGGGGATATTTCGGACTGGTAAACAGGAACGATGGTAGATAAGGCACCCACGCCTAAACCGGCGACGATACGACCGACAAGCATCATGGGAATCCCTGTAGCGAATGTTTGGAAAGCACCTCCAACAAAAAATACCATAGATCCGTAGAGGATAGTGCGCGTTCTACCGATGATATCACCGATTTTTCCAACGATAAGAGATGAAATAAACGCTCCAATCTCTAGAATGGCAACCATGGTACCGACCTCCGCCATAGTTGGTTGGTTAAAGTAGTCTTTGAAATCGGCACCCCTAGAATGAACTGTGAGGCTCTGAACTTTTTTTGGGGGAACGATATGACCACATAGGTCGATGCACCTACGTGATAATCCCTGACATAACTCCTTGATCATATCCAAAAAGGAAAACACCCAATGACACAAAGACACTCGTGAAGTAACTAGGAGGAATTAAACGTTAATAATCTAATCATTGTGCAAGAGGTTCACCTATTGTAGAGATACGTAGAAGCAGGTACATACAGTAGTGGTTTTCCCACCAGGCCATGGCTCCTGGCCTTTCGTGCGGCGCCGGGCGACATGATTACGGCTAATATTCTTTCCACTCTCGAGATGGTTCGAGGAGCAGGTGTTGGGATATGGATCTCCTTGAACAGGCCACCGTCACTATCAGTGTTGACCTGGCCGCGGCCGTCTTGTTGGGGGTGGGTTCCGTGACGATGCCCGTCAGCCGGGTAGTGCACCCGTTTTGAACGCTTCCCACGAGAGCGGAAGCAGCTTCGCCCAAACGATGAATGCTCGAGTGAACGATTGAGATGGATCTGAAGTGGATCTTCCTCGCTGGCTAGTTGTTCAGCGAGATCGCCAGTGTCTGACCAAACCGAGAAGTTGGAATCGGAGTCTGAATCGGTGAACGGGGAAGAAGGGAGAGAGGACGATGAAAGCCGCCGGTTGCCCTCTTTCTCGCGTGAGGAATCCAGCAGCACAGAATGTGAATCAGGCGAGGGCCGGGAGTGAGGAGAAAGGGACCGGAGGGGGATTGCGGTGGGGAGCCTGGGTAGCGTTGAGGAAGAAATGGTGGCGGTGGGAGGTGAGGGCTTGCGGGAGCAGCCCTACGGTGGAAATCGTAGAAGGGGAGGAAAATAGAGAGGTGCAAGTGTCGTCGGAAGAGTGTAGCGTGATCTCTCAAACGAAGGGGGGAGATTGTGGTCGGTCAGGTGTGATCGAGACCAGGAGTTCCGCAGCAAGAACGGGGCTACGTTGTTGGTTAGTTAGGGAGTGAGCCAAGGATGAGAAAGGAACGCTGACATCTGACAAGACAGAATGGGAAGGGCATCGAAAGATTCGGGTTTGTTGTTGGATTGGCTGGCAGACGATTTGTCGGGGAACTTGATTGATATTTCGGCCATAGGCTGTCCGGATGGACTTATCGATCGAACACTCCCTGGTCGGCAGGGAAGAATGTTTCTGCGGGCGCAAGCCTTGATCCCACGTTGGTTTGTGGAGGAGTGAACAACTGCAGCGACAAGGCACTCTGGCATCGTCGGTACCTGATTAAAGTACTTTTCTCGATGCAGGAGTGGACACATGGAGTATGAGAACAAAGAGTGATAAAAATAAGCTCTAGTTGTTCCGTAAACTCAAATCAAACCAAAATTCTACACTCATTTTTTCACTGCTTTTTATCTCAATAATTTGATATTCAGCAAAGCCACAGGCCACACAGCATAGCTCCCTGGTGGTAAACTCCATGCACCCAATTTTTATTTTATTATTCATGTCTATTACTAGCTCTGATTCTCCCTCGGGTATTAAAAATGATGTGAGGAATTTGTTTTTTTGTTCTCCTTTGGAGAAAAGATAATTTTTGTCACCAAACTATTAAACTTCAGCCAATCGTGCCCTGCATCCTTCTCCATCATCAAAAGCATTGTCTCGTAAATGTCCCTCCCCGATGACTGCATTTTGAGGTCCCCACCCACCATCACCTCCTCCACCAGCCGTAACACATGAATAACATACTCTGATCTTCAGATATCATGATGACACACATTTTCAATTTGGCTGTTTGATATCATCCTTGGTGACTGCAACAAGCTTTTGTTTTAGCACCTTGCATGCACATGTGCCTCATACTGCGGAACGACCCATTATAATCCAGTTTAAAAGATAGCGCGGATGCCCAGCAACTTCTCCCCCATCCGATTCACCAGAATGGTCATTTTGGAGTCCGCTGCTGGCTGTGGGCGATCTTTTTAAAGCGGCGTAAAAGAGTCAGGAGACATATGTACTTCCTCCCGCTCCGTAGCCTGTAATCAGATACCTTATTCCTGCAGAGCGACATAGGCTATTAACAGTGAGAAATTCGGTTATTGCTTGATACGTGGATCTGCTCAGCTGGAGAGTGCTGGACTAGGCTGTTGGCCTAACGAGGGGAAAATGGGTGTTCACAGGTTGCTTCCAGCCTAATGGATGCTGGCTGGCTGGCTGACTGGGTCACGGGATGAGACATACATCATTTTACTTCCACACCGAGGCTAGAAGGAGTCAGCATCTTCATATGCTGGCAGTTATTGTCTAATAAAATACTGCTCTCTCAAGATACCAACGACAATAATATATAAAGGGTATAACCAAAACAACAATAAACTATACATCATTTACGACCGATACATTAAAAAAAGGGAGTGGGGGGAAGGGGCCGCATGCGTTTAAAAGATAACTAATATCGAAACCGATAATTATGTCAAGATGATTTCATAGCCGTCCTGTTGTATATGCACAATCTCCGCATCGACCCCATATTTACGCCGGACCAGCTCAAAGATGATAAGACCAGCGCTAGTGCTTGGCACCAGACGAACAGCGTTCCCAAAAAATCCTCTAAAAAGCCATGAATGCCAGCCACCAGCGCGTATGGCCAGTTTTTGACATCTCCCAAATAGCTCCAAGTACGCTTCATAGTGGTGCTTCATCATCTTCATCCCCGAGTGATCTAACTTGGCCATCGCGTCGATGTGCTCCAGCCTCTCATAGTAGACAGTCTGCACTACGTTGAGAGGGTGCTGCGCAAACTGCTGCATCAGGGACGCCGTAACGCCGGCTAGCATCAGGAAACACGGTTCTAGAGCATAGTGAGGCTGGATGGAGGGGATACCTCCAGATGAAGTGGGTGCTGCTGACACCGAGAGTTTCTCGACACGGTGTGGTTTGAGAGAGCCGTAATAATATCTGACAAAGGTGTAGTACCCTTGAGACTTGATAGTTTCGAACATGCCGAAGAAGAGAGCGGAGCCGAACGAATCCTTCAGGAACGAGAGACCCCAACCGGAAAAGATGCCCCGAATGCCTATTTCATGAAGTTTGTGTTTACCGTATTGCCATACATTCCTGTACTGGCCATTTATCATATCACTAGTGCTAAACCGCACCTGGAGCGCGTCCAGGGGCGCTGCGATTATGGATTGTATTCCTCCTGCAGCAAAACCGGCCGTGAACGTCAGGCTCGGAGCTGGAGGTGGGTAAATGCGCTTGGTCGCTTGTAATGAGGGCTCGTGGAGTCCGCTTAATATTTGAAGATACGAAGTATATAGAACTGCCCCAACCCTATCGCAAAGAACAATTCCCATGAGTTAGAAACATCATATCCCTTAGTGGAGACAATTAAGTGTATTCTTTTATTTTTGGCAAGGGGGAGGGACGTGATAACCAACACAATGTTTCCCGCAAGGGGTGGGAGGACTTGGTCTGGAAGGAAACGCCAGCCATACATGCGGACGGCGTGGGCGAGGAGTCCTGGAGTCGTTGTATGCCATGACCAGCTGCCCTCCGCGACTCGCGGGTTGATAGCTTTGGCTAAAGCCTAGGGTCATCCATCTACCAATCAGCCTGGTCGAGACTCTAACAGATTTGAAGCAAATCTAAGTAGGGAGATAGATACTAAGCAGATATCTACCAGGGGGAGGTAGCTAATTAAACTAGGAAATTTCGTACCATATAGCTACAGAAAGTGACTGTCAACGAGGGTCATAATACAAATAAATACAAAGGTATACTACCTACTCCACTCGTGTGCGAAAGAATGCTTTGGCAGGGGCTCTGAAATAAAAGGCCACAGCCTGTGCGCTCAGGGCACGAACACCCGCAGCCGAGGCGCCAGTTGCTGCATTTGTTCGAGGCTTCCGGCGCGCTGGATCGTCCGAAGAATCTGAGTCGGTTGATGGGCTTCCATCAAAACTGGTATTAGAGGGGTTACCAGAAACGATGGACATGGTTGTGGAACGGAGATAACAGCGGATAATGGTTCCATGAGGTAGTTTTACAAGGGACACAATATGGAGAAAATTGATTTCCTGAGGGCTTAAGAATTATTGACACCAAGGAAGTGTCATTTCTAGAGAAATCTCATAACCGCAAAGATGTCACGAGGGGCGAGAATTCCACGGTTAATGAATAACGGAAGCTGTGGACAGGTAGGTCAATAATATCTCAATCTCAATCTCGGTGGTCATGGAGAAATCCGAGATGCAAACAAAGCAAACATTCCATTTAGCCCGATTGATGCGCTAAATCCAAACGCGGTGCAGGTCACGTCAAAGTTGCCAGGCAAGGACTGGTCTATCCTCACTCAACCTCAGTCAACCTGACTCCGATAGCCCCCACGGCCGTCTTGAGCATTTTTCTAGCATTTTTCTAGTGCTCGTTTATCCTTTGTGACTGGTTACTCTCTTTTTTCTTTGTACGGTAGTTTAGAAAGTTTCCCTCTACCGAAATTCATTCTCCCTTTCAACTTCCAGCAGTGCTTCTGGCCAAAATGGCGGACGAGATAAAAATCGACAAAGCCACATTTTTCAATCGCCTATCTACGTTCTATTCAGCATGGAGGGCTGATAAACGATTGTCGAATCCAGTTTTTGGTGGTGTTGGGTCGATTGTGATCTTGATGGGGAAAACAGAAGACGCGAATTCCTTCCAAAAAAATAATGCTATGCACGTAAGTCTGATGCCGCATACTATAGTACTGGTATTCTCGTTTCCAACTTCGATCTAAGGAATTCTATCCTATCATCTAGTTCTGGCTGCTTGGTTATGAGTTCCCCGCGACTCTCTTCGTTTTCACAACCGAGGCTATGTATGTGGTAACAACTGCAAAAAAAGGTAACGCTATAATAACGGCCCCGACATCTCTTTATATGCGCCAATACCTTTATTCCTAACTTGTTTTTATGAAAGCGAAACATCTCGAGCACCTAAAGGGTGGAAAGATACCAATTTGAAATCCTCGTCACCACGAAAGACCCTGAGCAGAAAGCAAAGGTTTTCGAGAAATGCTTGGATGTCATAAAAAGCGCAGGGGTATGTTGTCCTTCTCTGTTGATAGCTGACTGATCTGTCCTAACACATACGCAAATATACAGAAGAAAGTAGGTACATTGCCTAAAGATATGTCTACCGGCCCTTTCGTCGAGGAATGGAAACGTCTGTTTAGCGAAATATCAAAGGAGGTAGAGGAGGTTGATATTGCTCCCGCGCTGTCATCCGTTGCATTCGCTGTTAAAGGCCCGGAAGAGCTGGTAATCCGTTTCCCTCTCTGAACCTTCACAAAAATTTGTCCTGACTGGGTTTGTAGATCTCGATGCGAAACGCCTCTAGAGCTTGCAGCGGTCTCATGTCGGAATACTTTGTGGATGAAATGTCCCAGCTTCTCGATGAAGAGAAGAAGATAACTCACAAGGAGTTAGCAACTAAAGTGGACGCAAAAATGGATGATGCCAAATTCTTCAAGAAGCTTGCCAAACTGCCCCCAGAGTTTGATCCACAACAAATTGACTGGGCTTATGGCCCCATCATCCAAAGTGGCGGGAACTATGATCTTCGGTTTACTGCTGTTCCTGACTCCAACAACCTTCATACTGGTATTATAATCGCGGGGTTTGGTATTCGCTACAAGACTTACAGCTCCGTAATCGCACGGACGTTTTTGGTCGACCCTAGCAAATCTCAAGAGACCAACTATGCTTTTTTGCTAAGTATCCACGATGCTGTCATGAAAGATATCCGCGATGGGGCCGTGGCTAAGGACCTGTATAATAAGGCGCTTGGAATGATAAAGGCCAAAAAGCCAGAGTTGGAGAAGCATTTCCTTAAGAATATCGGTGCCGGAATCGGAATAGAATTGCGGGATCCCAATATGATTCTTAATGGTAAAAATAATAAAGTCCTTAAGAGCGGAATGACACTGTGTGTCATGATCGGCTTCACTGATGTTCAAGACCCGGACCCGAAGGACAAGAAAAATGAATCTTACTCCATGGTTATCACGGACACAGTTCGAGTTGGCGAAAGTGGTCCCCATATCTTTACGAAGGATGCAGGAATTGACATGGATTCAATCTCCTTCTACTTTGGTGATGAAGAAGAGACTGAGAAACCAAAAGTCAAAAGCGAAGCCTCGAAGTCTAGTGCTATCGCTAGCAAAAACATTACGAAAACTAAATTGAGAGCTGAGCGGCCAACGCAGGTAAACGAAGGCGCAGAAGCCCGTCGACGTGAGCATCAAAAGGAATTGGCTGCGAAGAAACTTAAAGAGGGCTTGGAACGTTTTGCTGGAACCACAGGCGATCAGAATGGGACATCACAGAAAAAGTTCAAAAGGTTTGAATCCTACAAACGAGACAACCAACTCCCCATTAAAGTTAAAGACTTGGCGGTATACGTTGACCACAAAGCCTCAACTGTGATTGTTCCTATTATGGGCCGCCCCGTCCCATTCCACATCAACACCATAAAAAATGCGAGTAAAAGCGATGAAGGGGAGTATGCATACCTGCGTATCAACTTCCTATCTCCTGGACAAGGTGTAGGTAGGAAAGATGACCAGCCGTTTGAAGATCCGTCCGCGCACTTCGTGAGGAATCTGACCTTGAGATCGAGGGACAACGACAGACTCGCGCAAGTTGCGCAAGATATTACAGAGCTTCGGAAAAATGCACTCAGGCGCGAGCAAGAAAAGAAGGAGATGGAAGATGTTGTTGAGCAGGACAAACTTGTTGAAATTAGAAGTACGATTGACTCCTTGTGTCCATTTCTTTTGCTGCTCGGTTATCCTAACAAAATCTGATTTAGATCGGCGGCCTGCGAAGCTTCCCGATGTCTATCTTCGACCTCCATTGGACGGAAAAAGAGTGCCAGGAGAAGTCGAAATTCACCAGAACGGTCTCCGATATCAATCGCCACTGCGTACTGAGCATGTTGATGTTTTATTCAGCAACGTTAAACATTTGTTTTTCCAACCGTGCGCACACGAAATGATCGTGATTATCCATGTCCACTTAAAAACCCCTATCATGATCGGTAAACGGAAGACTAAGGACGTTCAGTTCTACCGGGAAGCTACGGAAATGCAGTTTGACGAAACTGGAAACCGTAGACGGAAACACCGTTATGGGGACGAAGAGGAGTTTGAGGCTGAGCAGGAAGAAAGACGCCGTCGACTTGCATTGGATCGAGAATTCAAGGCGTTTGCTGAGAAGATCTCAGATGCTGGCAGGGACGAAGGTGTTGACGTAGACGTTCCGTTCCGAGAAATCGGTTTCAACGGCGTCCCAAACCGCTCTAATGTGCTGATCCAGCCGACCACGGATGCGATTGTTCAACTGACAGAGCCGCCGTTCCTGGTGGTGACGTTGAGCGAAATTGAGATTGCCCATTTAGAACGCGTTCAGGTTGTTATTTTTTTTCCATTTCTGAATCTTGGAGTTTTTGTGGACTCACTAACCATAACAAAAACTAGTTTGGGCTCAAAAACTTTGATATGGTATTTGTTTTCAAAGACTTCCACCGACCTCCGGTTCATATCAATACAATCCCCGTTGAATCACTGGAAGGTGTCAAAGACTGGCTTGATTCCGTCGACATTGCGTTTTCTGAAGGGCCTCTCAACCTTAACTGGGGCGCCATTATGAAAACAGTCACCAGTGATCCGCACGGCTTCTTCGTTGACGGTGGTTGGTCCTTTTTAGCTCAGGACTCCGACTCGGAAGAAGAAGAAGAAGAGGAGGAATCTGCGTTCGAGATGTCAGACTCCGAACTCGCCGCTTCTGATGAGAGCTCTGAAGATGATAGCGAGTTCGACGATGAAGCTAGTGCAGAGGCCAGCGAGGCATTTAGCGGCGATGAGGATGATGAGAGCGCCGGTGAAGACTGGGATGAGCTTGAGCGGCAGGCAAAGAAGAAGGATCGCGAAAGCGGTCTTGATGACAGCGAGAAGGGGAAGAAGCGGAAACGATGAACTCTCGCATCCCGATCTCCGTTGGATTTTTATGTTTTTGATTTGGAGGTGCTGGCGTTATGGGATAGTATGGTTTCACTACTCTTGCAGAAATCAAAAAGAAAAAGGAAAGGGAAGTGAAGTTGTGTTAATTTCTTGTTCATTATTTATTTTCTTCAAGATACATCATTGAAACAGATCGATGAGATCAATGACAGAAACTAAAAATATTATCAATTGAGGTGTTTATAATTAATCATTACGCGTTTTGTTTCCATCTGATTTCTTAACTAGCTTTGATAAAAACTAGTTATGATTTGTTTTCATTTATTCTACAACTTTTTCTCTCCTCTCATATTAAATTCCAGGGTGTAATTGATGACTTAATAGAATCATGTATGCATAGGATAATTAAGAAAATATCAATGTTATTTTGGTTGTAAGGCAATGAATCATTAAATCTAAAAAAAGGTGGCTTGTGATCTCTCCGTCAGGTCTGAATCTTTCGAAACTAAACCAACCACCCACCTCCATCAGCTTACAGGCCGTTGGCTACCCTCCACCTCAGCAACAAACGACTTCCATCAGGACTGGTGTTTTCAAGGGTCAAAAATCAGCGATCTCCTATCCGAATATGGCCGACGTTGCCAAGAATAGGTCCCCAGTTGAGCTGGACTCAGCTCACAGGGCTCAGCTCAGGGGGCTCAGCTTAGAGGGCTTACACGGTATATAAGCTGGCCCTCACCGTCTACAACTGACATTGTTCAAGACAGGTTTTTCTCTTACCCTTGCGTCAGGAAACTGACCATTTGCTCCTGGCCTCCTACCTTACTCTAGCCAGCCTTTAAGAAGAGGATCACGAGCGGAAACAGTCCTAACAATTGACCCTTGCAATCAGGCAAACATGTCTGGACATACTTGCTCGTGCTGATCGACCGGCGGAGGAAAGGCCTGGTACACTCTCACCCATTCATGTTCATTTTTATGCTCCCCCCAAACTCAAATCTGTAGCTAAACAAACCCCTTAAGCCCGTCGCTCCAGGCCATTCGTTTTTATTTGGCCATCTCCTTTACCTCAAAAAGATTCTTGACTGCTTGCCAAGGGATGCCCACTATCAGCTTGGCTTCGATAACCCAGAGGCACTTGCCCAGCTGCGTGCAGAACACGATAAAGTGCTAGGTCCCAATCCTGCTGCAGCAGCAACAGTCATCAGGGAGAACCCTCGCGTGTTAAACAGCCTACGATACACCCTTGCTGTCATTAAAGAATCAATGCGCTTTTTCCCGCCTGCAGGCGCTACCCGTGCGGGAAAGCCGGGCATCAATGTGACAGATGATGCCGGTAACCTTTGTCCAACAGACGATGCTATCCTATGGGTTCTGCACATTGAAATGCAAACTTCGGAAAAGTACTGGGTGAAACCAGATGCCTTCTTACCGGAACGTTGGCTCGTTCCCCCTGACCATGAGTTATACCCTAGCCCCGGCGCCTGGCGTCCCTTTGAACTCGGGCCGAGAAACTGCGTTGCACAAGCATTGTCGCTCATTGAACTGCGCATCATTCTCGCATGTTTGGTTAGGACCTTCGAGGTTGTGCCAGCCTACGATGAGTGGGACGCCAGCCATTCAATGAAGGGGTCGAAACACTACCGAGGCGAGCGGGCGTATCTAGTTGAAAGCGGAGCTGCACATCCAACGGCGCAATATCCTTGTCGAGTTCAGCTAGCACAATAGAATACCGGTTTTGCTCTCTGCAGAACTTGCTCTCCTATACATTCCAGAGAGAGTTTTTCTCGTACGAATTCTGAATTCTACTAAAGTCCTTATGTGGAAGAGCATATCTCCATCCCATCCCGCTCCGATGTGCTGAAGAACCAGATTTCCTCTAGGTATGGGATTTGGCCAACAAAGTCCAACATTTATTCATATCTTTAGCGTGTCTTTTTTTTTTTTTTTTTAGGATCTATACACTGTACTCCGTATGCCTATTAGCCTTATGGCCCGGGCCGATTGTGACCGGAAAGTAAAGCGAGAATGTTACTCGGGGTCTTATTTACAGTGTTGCCTCTCGTCAGAACAAAAAACATTGAGAGACGCTTCATTTGCATAATTAATAGCAATTATAACTTCAGTGATGAACTTTTACAGATGTATTTTTTGCCATACTGGAATAATGTTACCCCTTTTTTCTTTTACAGTAGTTAATGCATGCAATTCACAACCGAGTACAGCTGTGGAATTTAAAACCCCATTCAAAATGTAGCTTTTGAGATTAATCATTTCGCAGTACACTTCTAGTCGACACAATGACTTCTAATAATAAATGAGTTTTATTCTGAAAAAGATCGTTTCTCTTTAAAAAAAAATTGTGTCATATCATAAGCAAGAGAAAAAAGCGAAAGACAACACTAGACAACAAAATGAAGCCCATAACCAACTTGCCTAGACATACATAAATTTAACATGAGGAAGGCAAAAATGAAAAAAAAAAAAAAAAAGAAGAAAGAAACGCCATGTCCTAGAATTCTCAGTGGTATTCGACCCCTTTGTAATGAATAAAATAAAAATGCAAAAAAAAAAAAAAAAGGTCGATAACGAAGGAAGATAGGTAAAACTCAAATTTTCTACAGTTATTAATCAATAAATCACGACCTGCCGCCGAACCGGGGCTCACGGCCAGTTGTGGTGGCTGTACTAGGCTGTTCGTTATTCCACGTCAGATATGTGTGGTCACCAAGTTTCCTGTTGACAAAGAGTACGTTAGGTTAGCAAAGAGAGATATCAGCAGAGGTTGTTGGCATTATGGAGAGAGGTAGATAGAAAAGTAGGTATAAGGGAGCCGGAGAGGAAGAACGGACCGTGGCTTAACTAAATGTGCCAGCGTGAACAATGCGCCGAGAATGATGCAAATCCCACCAACGACTACGTATGCAATTCCCATGAATGGGTTTTTACCACCCACCACAGTATTTGTAGACAAAACGATAGATTTCGTCCCTCCGTAACGGGTGACCGGGAAATCTGGTAGTAATCATGCCTGTTAGCCAACAACGAAATAATAGATGGTGAAGTAAGAAAGGGGAGAAATAAGCCAGAAATCGACAGCAAGTAAGGGGGCCGGGCGCACTGTCATCTATGTCAATTCGATAACTTCCAGCTTTCATAACATCTTTGTCATTTCTCATCGCCAGTTTGCTGAATGTCGGTAAACCTGCCGTTCTCATCCACACCTGGAGTTCTTCGTACTCATGCAAATCAGGTGGAGGAGTCTTATTGTTGTAGCCATCGGGATACCGTTTCCGCCAGTTGGGAGGAGGCCAGATCTGTTCTGGCTTGTATTCAGTCTTCCCGAATAATTGCTTGTCGCTACTCCACGATATTCCCTTGTTGGTCATTTCATAGAACTGGTTGTCCACTGTCCCAAGGAGAGCGGGGGAGTAGAAAGTGTCATTGAATACCGAGTTCGCAATGAGGCCACAGGGGTAATACGCCTTTTGAGTCTCCGGGTCAATCCTGAGCGGGTCGCAGGGGCTCCCGTTTATCGTGCTATTGGGGAGAGCCTTGCCCTTGAGTTGGTCCAAGTCCAAGGACTTAACATATCGTCGGTGGTTTTGGTAAAAGTTGGTGAGACGGTAATAGAGGAATACCGAGGGTCCGATATCATTTGGAATCTCGAAGTACAGCGAACATACGGTGGTGTTCACTGGTGCGACGCCCGGAAAAGTTCTATTTACGTTATCTACGCGCTTCCAAGACGGCCGATCAATATTTCGGGACCGAAATGACGAGCTGTAGCTCCCTGGGTTTATAGGCTGGGCTTCACCAAGTGGAGCTTCGGCGGCGCAATTCGTGTAATCGATAACCACTTCTTGCACCTATCCCACAAGATCCGCATAAGTAAGCAATCGGTCACGGGCAGAGGCAAAACCCCCGAAAACAACAAAAGTATAAAGAGATATATTGCGTACTGTAGAACTAGCCCATATAAGAAGGCCTCCAATCGGTGCGAATATAACTCCAACAATGAAGAATAAAGGAAGAACGGTTTTCGGAGTTAGGATAGGCCTGCCGGAAAAGCCGCGTCAGTGATTTATGGCTCAGGATGTCACAACGCAGTCCTGGCAAGTAAAGAGTTGTAACATGGGTGCTTACTGCCATGCCTTCAAGCGTTGTTGCCGGAATGCCGTGTCTAAGAAGCACCGCGATATCATTTGTTAGCTGGATGTTGGGGCCCGAATTATCTGAATGTACCCTGCTTTGGGGACAGGACAGAATGAGAAGTCATGGTGGGGGGATATAGGGATCGAGGCATTATGCGCACTTGCTGGTCTCCGGCTCTTTTGCTTCTTCTCATCTCCAGCATTTCGAGGATCCTGTTCGTCTACAGAATCCGGTTCTGAGAGTGCCATAGCTACGGTGATCGTGGCAGTGAAGATTTGACGAGGGCAGAATGCCTGTTGACCAACTTCTTCGGTGGACTTGTTTGGAGTTAGTGGGGATCTTATGGTTCATCTAACGGGTACTTCGTTCTTCCGTCAGATTGTGCAATCCTGTCTATGATGGTAAAAAATGTTGGTGGCAATGACGGTAAGAGGTCGTCGTGGCCCTCGTCGTGTTTTGAACAATTAACTAATTGATGGTTGCGTATGTGAAGGGCGGCTGTGACAATGACGCTCCTGCTTATTCATCCACCAACCTGAAAACGCTCACTTCTACTCACGCAGTGTAGTTGATGTTAACTACCAGTACAGCATAAAACTACTGAATTGAAGGAATAATATCACTTCACTTCTAATAATGCGGAGTAGTCACGGCCGAAACAGCCAGCGTAGATGATATAGTAGATTATAGTTCTTGATTCCTAACTGCGTAAGATATTGGCTGATGCAAGGAAAGTATCTGATCGTATTGGGTATTGGGTATTTCAAATGCTATGAACCAAGCCAGTCCAAACTGGTGATAAACCATGATGATAGTGAAAAGCGAAAAATGGAAAAAATGAAACATGAAACATGAAAATCATGGACCTGTAAGCATTCTGAAAAGTCCGTCAAGTTACCAACCAACCAACCAACCACCCAGACAGGAAGACAGAAAAATTAGGGTCAAAATAAAATGTCCAACATTAACGCCACTCCCATGTATGTACATACATGGACATACATGACCTAACAAAGAAAATGTGAACGAATGCCATATGGTAAGTGGTATGAAAAAATCCCCCAATGGTTGAACCAACCCTTTCCACCAGGCTCCCTATCCGTTTCCTGTCTCCCTCTGCCCAAAAAAGAAAAAAGAAAAAACAAGAGCAAATGTTCCTGTAAATGCGAGTCAAAGGATGCGCCCCATGGAAAACGATAAAAAAAAATCAAATCATCAGAGTCACAGAACAAATATATGAAAATGCAAAGAGAAACAAAGGAAAAACAAAAACAGAAAAAGCAAAAGACCAAAATTGCCCTTTCTCCCTAGACCATCATCAAACGTAAGTGCAAACATGCCATGAAGAACAAGGCTTAGGCCGGCTGATACCTGCTCCACATAACAATAATAAAATGAGGGTCCCGGCCAAGGATACTTGATAATTAAAGGAAAAGAAAGCCCGAAACAACAATATAGAGAAAAAGGAGAGGCGTAAAACGAATCTTTGAAAAAGAAAAAGGCCATGATGCAAAAGGTATCTGAAACCGAAACGAAACGTAGCAATCCTTCAAGTCGTTTAAAAAAAGAGAAAAAGAGAGAGAGAGAGAGAGAGAGAGCCATATACGTCAAAACAGTTCCACATCACGTAAAGACGCAGGTTTGTCGAAAAAATGAGCCGTTCCCCGTCCATAAAGCATCAATCTATCCCACAACCCTTCTCCCGAGCTTCAATTTAACATTTAAATTGTTCTTGTTCTTGTTCGTGTTGATGTTGTAGCCCACACTGGACGAGGCACTGACTCGAGTAGAGAAGAGGAAGGGAAGGTAGGTGGAACGCATCACAGATACTGTCGAAAGTACTCTGGTTTGAACCATCCAACCTTTTCGTAGGCGGTCCACAACTTGCTTGCCTTGTTGACATCAATTTTACAAGCCTGCTGAGCATCCGTTTTGCGGAATTCTTTGCCGATGCGGAGAGCGTTGAGGCGTGCTTCGAAGATGCGACGTTTGCTACAGAGATAGGTAGCACAGGAAAGGCGAAGAGTAGCGGCAAGGCTCACTTCTGCAGGGTCGATTTGGTGCCGGTCTGGGTCGTTGCTAAGATCCAGCATCTGGCCTTTCCAGTCCGCTTTCAAGCCCTTGGTGTTCCCGTAAAGGGTCTCTATGGGAGGACAGTAGTCAGGCAGAGATCTATAATCAGTATCATCGCGATTGGTCCCAATAACACGAGTAGGCTTTGGTGTTGTTGAAGTGGCGACATCGAAAGAATCGTATACTCGCTGCCTGGGAGTGGGTTTGGAGGTGCGCCTTGACCGGGGCCGTGGGGCTCGTACGCCACCGATTGGACTCCGCTTTACTGGTGGGGCTGGCGCGATCTTTTTCAAGTTCGCGGCTGTCTCGTAGCCCACCCGTTTGGTCACTGAAAGTTGACGGTCCAAGAATTCCCTCTCCTTCATCGCCCAGGCACCAGGATTCCGATTGTACTGCCTTCCGACAATGGGAACACAGGACAAGGCAAACATGTATTCTCTGCGGGTTGGTTTATTCTTCTTGTCTTGGAATCTCAGCATCTGGCTCTCCATGTGTTTGTCGACGAGGTGCTCAGCGACAGTGGCCAATTGTGGACCAAACAGTGGTTCACCATGCAGGATATCGGATTCATTGTTGGGGAAGAGGACTGGATCCTTGGATGAAACGGCAGATGCATCACTCTCGATCTGATCGTCGACGTTCGACCTTTGTTTCTTATTCCCCGTGTACGGAGTGACGGGTGGCGATGGTAGGTCCATCTCGGACTGGGTGCGTTTTCGATGGCTAGAGATGGGGGGAAGTGTGTTATTTTCATCGAAGGAAGACTGCTTCGACGTGCACGGTGAGAGCGCCCGAGTGAAACTGTCCAGAGGCTTTGTCTCTGGCGGCGACATTAAGCTGGATACAGGGGGTAGACGGTTCATGATGCTGTATATGCGTATACACAGACAACAGTGCGGTATGTATTATGTATTTGGATGTTGGTGTGCGATGGGGAGAGGGGGGAGTTTGTTGTGGGTACTACTAGTATTGAGATGTTGGTGGATGGCGATAGGCGAATTGGGATGACGGAATAGGCCGAATTGAAATGGCAAGGCTTTGTGTCGCAGGGGGAGAGTAGATTTGTGGAGTTAAAAAGGAAGAAGATGATAGAAGAAGGGAAATTGATCAAGAAGAAGAAGAGCGAAAGGAAAGATAAGAAGAAGGATGGCAGATTCTGGTGAGAAGAGAAGAGAGAAGAGAGAAGAGAGAAGAAAGAAGAAGGTTCAGTTCACGGAAGAGTGACGTTGTTGGGTCTCCGCCGCCCCCCAAGGCAGAAGAAATAACCACGCACTACGCAGGACCTGCGAAGGCGACCAGCGGATTGGGCTGAGTGAGGTGCTTGAGGCCTGACCAGTGACCAGTGACTGGGCGAGTGACCACTGAGACCGCAGCAAGGAAGAAGAGTAGCAGGCAAACCAACCAACCAGGGCTGCGAATTGGCCTCTGCGAGGGAGTTCGGGGATGTGCCAGCCGCCCAATGGCAGAGGCCGCAGCGGATCTGGGCGGCGGCTGATTTGTCAGACCTGGTGACTGGTGACTGACTTGGGCTTTGGGCAACTTGGGTGACTTGGGTGACTTGGGTGACTTGGGATGGCGGCGTCCACGGGTCGTGTGCGGATGGGAGTGGCAAGGGGCTGGTAGGCTGGTAGGCTGATTGGTTGGCTGGTTGGCTGTTTGTTGAGCTGGTGAGCTGGTGACTAGGCTGACTGGGGCTGGTGACTCCCTGGGCCGGGTTCCAAGGTTGCTGGTGGTGGAAGGAAAACTATTATTATTAATAATGAACTCTCCGGACGGAGTTCTCGCTGGGTCTTTTGGCCTTTCCAGGGTTCCCAAAACCCAAAGCCGGAGTTAAGCTGCCAAATCTATCCGACCAGACGGTAGCGGTAGCCAATGTGCGCACGGCGGTGGTGATGTAATAATATAGTATGAACCCAGTTAACGGCCTTTAGTTAGTTAACGAGTTATGTTAATAATGGAGTTCCGCAGTTTCGAAGTCTTGACAAGCACCTAAAAATGGAGTCTGGAGGATCGACGAGGCTGTGGGGTTTTGCCTAGCTTGGAATCACCCAGGGGGGAGAGGGGGGAGAGGGGGTAGATGTACCTACTGCTGCTAATAATAATGGTAAAAATATCGATGGATGTTAAGGCGGAAATACAAGGGATGCACAGACACAGCAGGTGAATGAGTAGATGTGGATTGACGGAGTGGAGGGAGTATGTATGTATATATCGTATTCAGAAATAACCCGTGGAGGGGAGAGATATTCAATTTGAAGAGATGAGTGTACTAGTTAGTAACTATGTAAACGAAACCGCGGGCCAGGATTCAAGAAAGCATGTTGGTCAAGCAGTGAATGCTGCCGACGAGGAGGATTTCCGAAGGAATTGATTGATGCTCAACTCTTCTTGTTCGTATATTATATTACTATTGATTGATGCTTATTACTCTTCATTTGATTCGAAGCTTGAGCTGTTTGTTGCTTTGCTGCTTTGTTGCTTTGTTGTTTTATGGGCGGGGGCCAGCCAAGAAGGACAAAAAAAGAAAAAGACGCACGGGAAAGTAAATTGTTCTTTGACGGAGGATAGTTAGTCCCTTTGACTACCTTGACTGGTTATATCGCTGCCTGGTTGATGACTCGGAGTGATTCATTCATCCATTGTTCGTCGGTTTCAGGTTTTTGGCTTTCACTTTCATCGATGTCGCTGTTTGCTGTTTGCTGTGGACAAAGGTCCCTGCTGCTACGGAATGAAGAAATGACTGATGGGACAAAGTTGGATCCGGTTTGAGAATCAGCAGGGCAAAACGGTCGAGGAGCCAGGATTGCCCGAATTGATCGCGGGCGCGAAGTATAAATAGATCTAAGTTTGGGATCTTCCAACTCTAATCGGTTGGGTGATGTATTATTGTGTTGCCCCCCCCCCCCTCCTCCAGGTGAAGCATCAACAGTACGGGGTATCGTGATTCTTCTCTCGCCTTCCCCCTCATCCATCTCTCGCCCAGGTTCCCGTGGATGGTCACACCTCGCAACTGATCACAGACACCAGGTCACTCGCTCAGTCCTCGCTCCACGCTGCGCATCTCGGTCCGTCAGCTGCTGTGGTCAAGCGAACCCGTTTCTGGCCCAATTGACTTCGCCCATTGGCCACCCACACCTCCCCCTTTACCTCCTAATCTACCCGCTTCCTTGATCAATCAATAATCTTCATGAACAAATAAATACATTTCAACAACAACAACAACAACAAACCCACGACGCTGTGTTGCAAGATGAATCTAGCAGTGGGGGAATTCTTGTTTTCTTGTCCGCTGTTGCAATTGCACGCATTCTGCGGCAATAAAAATGACCGCATCTTGAATGGCCAAGGGAGTCCGTCAACGGGCACTAATTATAGTGTCATTTGCCATTCGCCAATTGACTCGTTACCTTGTCTCTCAGCGAGCTGTAAATATCGGAGTAGACATATACATACATATATATATCTATATATATAAATATAATATCAGCCAATGGCCGAAGAAGAAGAGAAAGGTCGAAAAATCAAGATACAATTGCACTGCACTGCACTTCATTTTGAATGAACTTTTGTGGAAAGCTTAACTTCGGTGCTGTAAAGGCTATCAATCAATATATACATCATCGATAGCTTTACTCCCGTATATCATTCGTCAATCCGCTTCCAAGGCAAATTGGCAAACAAACTCTATCAATCATAAGGTGTTTTGGTCTAATTGAGTTATACTGAATGGGATTTCCTTCCAATATCGTGTGTATCCCCGTACGGATGAAAGAATTAAAATGAGAGCTTAATTTTGGAAGTTTTTGCTATTTATTCTGATATATATATATACGGTTAGCTCGACACTGACAAAATACAACCGCTATTTAAACCGGAATTGGATCATTTGAAAACTAGAAAACTCTATAACCTGAAGAATTGAAGCTTGGAGGATAGCTTAGCGCTGGTACTGGCTTGTTTGCACTGTTTGTATCATTTCCCGTCATTTGTTTTCGAAAAGCATATCTCCTGTCCATTGACTCCCACCGCGTTATAGCCTGTCCTGATGCAAAGGCCGAGATGTTGCCTATGAACAGGCAATGATGGACTCCCATGAACCGGTGGGTCATAGATACCCAGGGGAGGATACGCGATCCACAAGCAAAAAGGAGCTCTCAGGATGGTACTGCTATGGGTGGGCCGCCGAGGTGTTTACGGTCTGTGCTATGGGTGAGTTCCTTCATCCCAGCTGCCATTGACGATGAGAACATGGCAACCATCTGCAGCGGGAGGGGAAATCCCGTGCATTTTTATTTTATGTATAACTCACCTTTTTTTGGCCTGCGAGAACTAATGGATCGTTGAAACACTTAGGGTCCTTTCTTCCCATCACCCTGGAGCAGATGGCCAGGGATCGAGGAGTTCTTTTTTGACCCCGTAATATTACTCTCCTTGGATCTATTTAATCGCTCACAAAAGAGTATCTAGCTATGTTCCCCAGGATATGGCAACGCTCGTAGACACGCTAGGAGGACCCGATGCATTCACCAAGCGTCTAGACTACCTGCACGAATCCGGCCTGCTCTACGTGGGGAACGAACAAGCCTTCCTCTCGGTATACCAGTACCACTACTCAGGTCGTCCCGCGCTCTCGGCAGA